ACTTGCCCCTGTCAGTCCGGGTCTATCTTTTCGCACCTCCACGCTACAACATCAAGCTTGTTTCGGATTACAGAATAGCTCAGTTGATAATCAGTCAAGTGAAGCTCCCAACCAATGACTTCAACGACTCTTCAATTCAGGGTGAATAATAGTAGCACGGTGTATTTCCCATGAGAAGGACGATATAAAAGATTATTCTGGAAGGAATGGCGAGCTTAACCACCATGCCAGCCTTTTAGCTCATGTTCCACTTTTGAATTTCTTTCCAGCAACCCAACTATCATTGCTGAGAAAGCTGATAAGCTTATAATTCACGATAAGCGGTGATAACAAGAAAAGTTAGTGGAGGAAAATGCTTCCCTTCACATATTATAAAACGACGTACCGTCTTGTCTGCTAGTGGAGGTAGTACCACTAATTTCTCCATACTAACAATTGTTATCCTCCATAATTCCTATAAGCGGTGATAACAAGAAAAGTTAGTGGAGGAAAATGCTTCCCTTCACATATTATAAAACGACGTACCGTCTTGTCTGCTAGTGGAGGTAGTACCACTAATTTCTCCATACTAACAATTGTTATCCTCCATAATTCCTGTATAGAGAAGAGTGTTAGAAATCATAGTAGCTATTGGTAAAGACATAAGCATCAATAAAGGTTTAAGCTAACCTTCAGGATGTACTTGAGGACAGTCTTTTCACATTGCTGGAAATATCGTTGCAACGATCCTTCTAGGAGGTCCATAAGAGGCTCCAATACCACATCAACCTCCTATAAATAATAACAACTATTTGTAGTTCCAACATTTTTTTACTTCTATCCTTCTGTATTATCCCGAATGAATTATCCTTTTCAGCCATTATTTTTTTGAGTGCCAGGATCCAGCCAACAGCTCATCAACTAAATGGAAAGGAAAATATCATCGAAGAGCTTCTCATCGCCTTCAACTCATTGACATTCCTATCTGAAAGCTGTAAAGGGGACCCCATACAGCTTAGCCTTTACCGAGTTGAGCTAACTTTCCAATCTTTCACCTATAAAATGATATTATCCCATTTTTCCTCACAGAAGAAGCCAACCCTTGGATACTAGAACATATCTGTCAAGAGGGTTCACCCACATACTTAACTTGACTTTGGAACAAGTATTACGAAAAAGAGATTTTACTATGTAGTAACAGAAATGTCTTACCGCTGCAACTTGAGTCTTTTGAAGTTGAGGGCCTTTGATCTTGCATAGAAGCACACCCAGCTTGTTCGTCTGCTCATGGATCATTGGTTCAAGTGTTGCCACGAACTAAACAGAAACATGTCATATGGTAATATCATGTACCTTGATTTAGTACTTAATAATTGAACCTTATTACTATTTATCAATATTTATCAAGCGAAAATATAACTAATCAATATTACCTGTCCAGAAAGTTTGTCCAGGACACTGTTGAGTTTCTTCTGTAGGTTCGTGAGAACTTGACTACATGCAGGATCCAATTCTGTACCACCCATCGTTTCGTAAATCTTCTCAAGTTGAACCCTACATTTTTCAATTTGACACTCATTTAAACATGTAAATAACTACATAAATTCAGAGAAATCCATTTAAATCGTTTCAAATGTTGTGTGCTTTGAAGTACACCAATCGTACCTTAGCTGTTGCACATTGTTCATAAGGATACAGGCAAGTTTCTCGTTCGATGAAAATTTGGAGAAATCTTTATGGACCATGTCAGCATAGGCGAGCAGGACCTGTAAAAACGAATATCTACGATTGCTACTATGCTACAGTTATACTCAGCGATCGGCGACTTTTTAAATTAATGATTATATATTTTTTCAGAACCTTAAATAACGTTTGCATTATTCATGGTTGTTTTGAGGTCTATTTTGATAAGTAAACAAACGAATAAATAAATGTGTAGTGATCAACCAAAAAGCCTGAGGACAAAAAAAAAAACAGCCGAAATAGCACAATCCCGCCACTGTGACTTATGATCGTTATTATAGNAAAAAAAAAACAGCCGAAATAGCACAATCCCGCCACTGTGACTTATGATCGTTATTATAGCGATAAGCATCGGGTCGGAGTCAAGCATATTCGGAAAGGTTGTTTACTTTTTTTTTCTTTACTCATAAGATAAAAAGAATAAAATGTTACTTCATTTCATTTAAGATTACTTTACTAGCGATAACATCTAATAACATTTAATAACTAACCTTATTAAGAGTCTTACTAAATCGTTTCATCATGTCCGCGTAGACGACTGGGTTAGGGCAATCCATCTGGAATGAGAAGTCATGGAAAAATTAAAATAGTCAACTATAAATGAAAGCTTAACGGCTACCAACCTGTTTCAAAAGCTTCAAAGCCTCATTCAACTGAGTGAATACGTCGACAACGCTGTTGGAGAAGCGAGTGTGATCAGATGTTTGAGGGAAGTTATCGGCTTTGTCCCTGGAATATGTTCCATTTCAGCCGCTATGAACCGCAGTGCACTATTGACTTCCCTTACCTGTTATAAGCATTTCGCAGGATATCCATCGAGTGTTCATCGTTCTCGTTTAGCCAATCCATAACGAACGGAATGAACCAGCTAAAATAAAATGATCCTGATACAAACTTTGATATATTTTTTAATGAATGGATACTCTCAGGAGAAGAAAGATTAAAACAGAATAATTTCGTGAGCGACTCATTAGGTTCGAAGATTTAGATTTTCTTTTTAAGAACTGCAATGATTTTACTATTTAAACTAGATAGATGTCACAAGTGGTTTTAATAAAACCAGCAGTCTATAAATACAAATATGAAGAGTGAAGACTGCAACACCTTTGAATGCATAGCATTATCTCAAGTTATCATAAATTACTCATGGATTCACAATCTCAAAGTGAAAACAATCAATAAAAAATTATAAGAATAAGAGTAACAATTAGAACAAAACTAGTGGCAAGTAATAATAAGTAAAAGTTTTAAGCACTCTAAAAAGTTGGTGGTAGTTCAACAGCCTTCATTTTTTTCCGCTACGATGAGACTAGTTGAATGACAATGGACTTACGCTGGAAATTCCGGGATCGATTGCTTATATTGCGGTAGATCGGAGACGTATTTGAAATAGAATCCTTTGACTTTAAAGTACAAATTCATGTACTCCGGTGTAGGGCACTTCTTCGTTGTTGCATGCTCTTAAAAAACAGCTGTTAGAAATACTAGTACGCTCGGATAACTTGAAGTCAATCAAGGTAAACGATGATATTCGTGTCATTTTAGTACTTTAGCAGGAAAATTCTCATAAATTTAAACGGTATTACTAAATTGGTAAATTTTCTTTCAACTCGATATCACCGATAAAAGATGATTCCCGGTACCGAAACGAATTCCTCGGACGAAGGATAAATAGGTTCTGTCTTATTCTTTGACGACGTTATGTACATATATGTACATTTTTCAGCAAGCTTACCTTCAAGTGCCATTTTCAAATCCATTTTGTATAGTGTCCATAGGGTACCGGCGGAAAGGTGTCCTACGTTCAATTCTTGTGGGAATTGATTCAAACTTGGCCCATACACAGTTTTATCATCTTCGATCACACGCATCATATAGTCGAGGAAGTCGAACCTGTCAAATATTCGAAGCTAAGCAATGAACTTTTTAAAGAAAGTTACATATTAACTAAAGTAGAGACGAAGTCCCACCAAAAATTGATTCAAAAACTATTTTTATTAACTGAAACGAGTAAATTTCATGCACACATCAAGATTTTTGTCTTCAAGATTGTCATCTTTCAAGAAAATAAGTAGGAAAACCGCAGCTATAATCCGAAAATCACAGCATACTCACCAAAATTTAACTGATTCCGACGATGGAGCTCCTTGTTCGCAGCACGAGTCAAACAGCAATTGGTACGTAGACTGTAAAAGCAGAGTCATGGAATTATACTTCGAGAAATTATGACTGAGGCTACAGTAACACTTTCAGGGCGGTGGTGTAGTGGGAATTGGCGCACTATCACACTCACGCATGGTCACCGGTTCGAATCCCGGATCAATATATGCCTAAGCCAACCAAACTTCCATCACTCCGGTGTCGCTTAATTGGTACCATACTCGCCTGGGAAAATGAAGCACCGATCGTACAGCGGCTAGTCACCGGAAGACATCGCAAAGGCCATATACGCATTCAATTCACCACGACTACGAATGGAAGTCGATTGCCTGAGCGCCTCTCCCTTAGACGGGACTGTTTCACCCTCGAAGACTTTACCCTTTACTTATTGTTAAAAAAGTCCATGCCTGCGAGCCCAAAAATCACTACCCCCGTTGAACGAATGCGTACGAGCTTTTACGGGTGAATAAATTCCGTCCCATCAGGCACCCCTAACCACCATGTAATACCAAGAATTTGCCTCACTAATTAGGGTAATTTGAATATGCACTAAACCCGAGAAATTGCCATAAAAAA